GTAGCGTGCACCTGTCGGGGTTCGCTTTTCAAACTTATCACGAGCTTTGATAAGTTTGTCGTTCCAAGCGTCACAACCTACATCCTCAAGGTTACGGATGTAGGCGTTCCACGCTTGAAGCAGTGAGGGACCATCACGTTTGTGATTCCCACTGTACCATTGATGATTAAAGAAAGCATCGATGAAGAATTCATTCTCAGCGCGATAGTTTTTCGCGCTGGGGTCAAGATGATGGATCCTTGACGAATCGAACAATCGTGTTCGATAACGATCACTCGTCGTCGCCGACAAGTGATCCATGACGGATTTGGGATGCATCCATGCCTTCTTCTCAGGAGTGAGACGCAAGACATTGCGGTCCCGCTCTTCCTGCGATGTGCCGACAGAAGTACTGGCACCTCGTTGCATAGTGGTGTCCATAGGAGAACCGACACCACTGTTAGCGCCCGAGTCTCGCGACCTCGAGCGCCTTCGCTTCGGCGATGGTTCATCTGATTCATCAGATGAACCAAATATGCTGCGACGCAAAGCATCGTCCATGCCACGCTTGGCAGGCGGCTTAGATTCAATCGCCGTCGATACGGATCCGTCATCCGTATCAGGAGAGTACGAGACACCGAGCTCGTACTCTGTGAAGACATGAGTGTCTTCGTGACCAGCACCTGCATCACCAAGTGACACAGGCTGGGTCGCTTCAGCAACCGATGAGACATCAGTTGCTGTGGTTTCTGCTTCGGCGTCCGCACAGAGACGTGCGGACGCGCTCTCGGCGGCCTTGCTCGCGCATCGCATGGGCTTGTTATTCATGCGATGAAATGTTGGAAAGTGGACTCGGACCAACCAGTGCAAACCCTGTCCCAAATGATTTGGGACGAGTATCCATTTAGTCAATCAGTCACTAAAGTGACTGATGGTTAAGGGGGGTGATGTAACGGGGTGAATCGTTACATAACAATTTATAAGAAATTGTTAATAGAATATAACTATAAATGTTATATTCTCAGAATATTGTCATAAGGACAAATATTCTACAGCACTTACGAGGAGTTCCTAATTGGTTGATATAGGCCATTATGTCAACCAACGAAGACGTGCCACGACAGACGCACGCAATGAGTGGTGAGCAGATAACTGATTTACACATTTGTATTTAGACATAGTTAGATGAGGATACATAGTGGTTTATTAACAGACATTAACTATGATAAATACAGTTCTACTTTTTACTTAAACTAAGTACTCGCTTCTTCTTACCGTCTTCCTCTGCACGTACGAGTGTACGTGAAGTTCCGAGGCACCGCCTTATTCTGTCATCATAATAGGTAGCTTGTACTGTCATGAGTATAAGCTTCAGGGTGCCCCGTTACATGTGGTAGCTACTGGAACCTTGTAAAAATTATCATCGCATCCCCAAAGCTCGCTTCGGCTGGAACCGAAATACCTTCTTGTAGAAGACGGTCGGTAATGTGCAGCTAAACAGTAGTATTAGGAGGCTTTAAAGGTCCTTTATAACAGAAGAATCCCGAGTCTTGCACATGAATATGCAACAAGTGACCCAAATCAGCATAATTTAGAAACAAGTGAATGTGAATTAAAACAAGCAATCATAGGGGAAAAGACAAAGATGTCTAAATGCGCATATGTCCAAAGTTGGAAGTCCACTTGTGAATACTTACCTTGTCTTGGTGCTTTGCAACGGTGCAAGCTTTACCAAAATTAGGACGGAATAGAAGCGATCCATTATCAAGGCGACAGTAAATGAGACTCCAATTATAAACGTAATGAAACCCAAAAAAAAGGGTTTTGAGTCGACGCGGCAAATCGGTTTATCCCATATTTATGATGAAAAGCATGTCCAATAGCAGTAGCTCCATTTAAAAGTGTGATGGTAGGGTCAAGCAGAAGAAGTTGGTGCAGTATAGAGATTCGAATGCCTAAAGATCCGTAGTTTTAGATCCCATGTTAGAGCGTAGCTGCCTCAGTGTAATACTGGAATGTCTAAATCTGCGGATGCCCAAGTTTGGGAAATGCGCTTAGTATGGAATAACACCCTGCGCGGACTTGACCTGTAACACTAAAAAAGGCTAGACCCAGCTTTAAAAATGCTAACATTTTTTTCGATGATTCTACAGACAGCAAAATTACGATCGATTAAAAAGTATAGGAACTGTGAAAAGACTGTATCGTAAGCAATTTAGGTTTCGTGTTTGCCTTCAGTAAAAGAAGAACCGAGCTCTTTAGGGGGTAATTCATATCGCGGTACAAAAAAGAAAAAAACGGTAGAGCGAAGTAGTCTTCAATTAAGGCACGAAGGGACAATATGTAACGATGAGATCCGTCTTCAATGGAGCCCACCCACCGTTCGAGCTGCACTTTGACGGTGCTGGAACCAGTACCCCAGACATAGAGCATTTTTGTGTAGCAAGAAAAGCAAGTCAGTGTACACTAGAATTTTTTTTTACTAATCTAACGTCTAAACATAGCAGCCGACAGACCTGTTTCGAGACTAATTGTGCTAGCGGCGACGCTGGTGCAGCATGCAAGACGAACATGTTCCGATTTCGCGCAATACTCAGTTCATATGGGCTTGTGCATTATAAATCTGTCATAAAAGTTAAAGAAATAATGGAGAGACCCGGTCAAATTGTAAATGCGCGTTGAGAAGGACACACATCTTTAATATAATTATAGGGTTTTGTTAAATACTCCCCACTCTTACCAACAAAATTCATACATCACATCTACACCGAACCACAATACGGGTTGTACGAAAACATCGCGCCGCCACCACACTTCTGTCCTACCACTCCCGCACAGCATCCTGCATCTTTTGTACCAATGTCAATTTATAAACTAAAGGCTAAACGGCTGGGTTTATTTTTATTCGGCTGGGTCGTTCTTTCAGGTCTAGGGTAAAAAGTTGTCGGTTGGAACGCAGATTGTTGAGAATCGTCGATCTATCAAATCATTTAAATTTAACTTTTGGTGACCGCTCTGCCAAAGGAGTTTCTCGTGATAGCTGTCGCGTTCAGCTACAATGTATGATTTTTCGAGATTCTATTTCTGTGGTAAGGTCAGTCGCTGCTAACTGGTTATGAACATGCTTTAAAGTTATGACAGGGCAGTTAGAACAGCGGAAAACGACTTATACATTGTAGATATAGTAGCTACGTTCAGCTCCAGCTGCAGAAATAGCTAGGATGAGCTAAAGCGATAAAAAGAGGAAATATTTCGTATTTTTACGACTCAACTACAACCACTAACATCCGCGCCCAATTACTAAGTAGATTAGCTGCTTGCAGGCTACTGCAAAATTGAAACAGCATAAATATCTTGGTGATAATTGAAGTTAACAATGTGTACGATCGCGCAACAAACAGTATTCCTAGGCGACAAATGCTACCCCACCATCAGCGATCGCGTGGACACATCATGTCCGGTGGTACTATCGATTGTGCATTTATGGCGGCGTCAAAAGGTAACAAATTTTCGAAATTGGATATTTTGCAGCAAAAGGAAATGCTGGAATAGGGCATTAGCCCACTTTGCACCCTTCTCGTCATCAAGGGCTTTTAAATGGACTTGTAAGTGGTTGTGTTTGTAGATTAAGTAAATGGTAACGACGAAGTAAGGCGTGCTTCTAATTTCATCATAAGTTCTTTTTAAGTAACTTTAGAAGACTTAAAAATAATTTAGTTGAATAAATACCGAACCCAGTCACTAAGCTTTTGCGTATAAAAATGGTCCGAAATGAAGAAATGACGAAAAATTGAAAGATAGTCTTCGTCCCCTGATATCGTCGATCGTAATAACGATTATTTGTCCGCGAACTGCCACATGTGCCTAATAGTAGTATCAGCTTGGTCTGCCGGGGGAGGCGTCCCGCTGGAGCGCTATAATCAATGTAAATGATGCCGAATTTGTATAGAACTGACGCCGATAGCTTGTCAAAATTTATAACAAGGGTACGACGTTTGGTAGGAATTTTGTTTTTTTGATCAAAGTGCCGAGAGCCAGAAGGGTCGCCAAATGCGCTCCAATATAGAGTACTGTTGAAGTTGACGACGAACACGTCGGCTTGATTTACGTTTTAAACATTTGGGATGAGCTTAATGTTTTTGTTGATGCCTTTGAAATAGTTGCACTTATGCATAGAAGTGTACTTGAAGAAGTCAACACAAGACATTAGTCATCATGATGAGACAAGGTAACAAAGTAGTAGTGATGATGCAAGGTACTGTCATCATGATGAGGCAAGACATCACTGAAGCTCAAGATGCTGAGAAAATTTATAATGAGGCCATGGGACCAAGGGTAGTGACTATGAGAGGCATGTAAAAGTAGCAGAATTCTTGCTTTTTTTTGTCAAGGCCTCATCAATTGCCCCTTTTCAATATGCGTTGTTGTGGCAGCTTTCTCCATAGTGCTCGATTAATTTTTCTTTGTGAGACCATATGATATGGTATCGTTGTGTAGGCGAACACAACATATGAAAACTCCTTTAAAAAAGAATTGGCTTAATACAAATAAGAGAATTGTTGTGGGTAACTACGTCTGACATTCCTAAAAATTCAGATTTGTGAGTTACTAAACACTCACTTCCTCCTTCCTCATGCGCTGGGGGTTACAAATTACCCACCACCCTAAAGATACAGGTGATTGCACTACTGCTAGTATAGGAGACTCACTGGGGCACCCAAGCAAATAGCGTGCACATGTTTAGATTTATACACTTATTAACTTGCCTGTGGTCAACAAATTGTCGACCTTATAGAAGGTGGATGAAGACCTCGAGATGACGCCCGCGTACATTAACATCCCGGAGCATATTACGGCGCCAAGTCTGCATTAATGGAACCAGGCGTCGCTGATTTGCTGGTGAAGCGAGCAGAAGCAGTATGAGTATTGTCTTCGTATGCGTTGATGTGCAATGTACGAGCAATATGACACCACCGCAGTAAGTATTATAGGGCGCAATCGATGCAAAAACGATCAGCAATATGGCGCTCTATGTCCTAGGCAAGAAATTTAAGAAGCAAACCGACTTTGGTATCCAACAAGAAATCAATCCACGTTGCAGCACTGTAAAGAGTAATCAATTTCTGGACGTTGAAGCTCGGTTTTCCAAGGAGCTGCAAATAGACATCCAGGAAAACAAAATTGAAGCACGGAGCTTGAAGTATTTCGCTCGTTTCAACAAGACCGCGGGCAACTATAAGCTTCAAAATGTGATGGGGCATATTAGGGCCAAAGGTCACGGTGTGGTAATGCAGGCCAAAAATCGGACCAAGACCCTATTGACAACCTCGTGCCCAAAATAATGAAGCGTGGGATTAAGCGCCTGGTGTCCTACCGAGCATCGCAAAGCCAAGGCGGAAGAGAAAGCACTTTATGACCTAATTCTGAAACGTGCTCGTTCACAACAGCACTACTCTCTGATGGAGATTAAAAAGATAAGCCAAAGTAGGTTGCACAGAAAAAAAGGCACATGTCAGTCGCAGCTCCCGTACCCCAAATGCTAAGGGATCCTCGAAAAGAGATGATACGCCTCAAGCGTCAGGGCAGCGCTAATCGAAATAGGCATTACTACACCACCCCGATACGGCTGTCTGGTCTGTAAGGGTCTTTTAGTGGGTGTTTGAGTGTTTAACATCATTTAACGCACAGAAGGATGAAGCCACACGAGCAATACGATAGCTCATGGTAGCACGTACTTCAGCTGAGCGCGCCAAACTCCCTTTAAACTTAGACTTACAGCCCACAGCGGTCTTGGCGGGTAATTTGGAGGTCCCGCTATGCGCTGACTCAGGTTCGAATGTATCCATCCTACTCCGGTATTTTTTCTTGGCCTCCCACGTGGCACCTACGTAATCATTATTCTCCTAAAAATATTTTATTTAATTATCCAATTTTATCTAATAATTTAAATTTAGAACATCACCTGGTTAGTGTAAAAGGAGCTGGTTTCGCCACATTGGTCTGCCGTTAGCAAGTGACACTGGACATCCAAGTACGTACTTCCGCAGGATCTGTCAGCATCAGGAATGTTGACTGTCGTGTCCTGGACTAATTCGATGACTAGTTCATTCGAGGTAAAGATTTATTAGTAGTCTTGGAAAGGACGTTAAAGCCATGATAGCCAAGCTAGCAGTGGTATCAGCCATCGATACTAGTGGAGATGATCTCACTACCAGTGTTGCTGGTGAAAGGTGGTGTCAATATGGATGCGGACATTCTCTCTTTTCCGTCCTCTCTAAAACACGCATAATTTTCGAAAGAGGGTGAAGATAGCGGCCTTGCGCATGAAATGTATAAACCTGCAGTCCACAACCGAGACATTAGGAGAAAGCAGCTGGGATGAGACCCTACGGCAAGGTTTGAACCTCTATTGGTGAAGTTTTAGGCTGATGCCAAGCCTGTAACTCGCAAGGCCAGGCCACATCTTAAGCAACAATGTGACTATCAGCGTTTCTACTTCGCCGAGCTAGAGCGGATAGGACTCGTTCGCCGCAATAATCACAGCCACTGGTCATCCTCTGCATTACTGGTTCGTCAGGGCCTCAACACAAATGAATTTGAACTACGGTAGATTACACTCGAGCCAACCGTCTTGTGATTTCTATGGCTGCAGACATGTCAGATATGAAGACAGCGACCGCCTGAGCCTCCGGAGCTTAGTAAATGAATCGCTAAACAATTTGTAGACTTAGGCAGCTCGTACTGCATCCTGACTGCCAGGAACAGTTCTCTATCGTCACTGAAGATGTAGTTTACACCCCTGCCCGTGTGCCGCAGGAGCTACCAACAATACTACTCATTACCAGAACCAGATGCACATGGTGTTTTTTTTAATGTTATATAACAACGTGCTGGTCTGTATTGATGACATTATCGTCTTTGCAAAAACGAGGGAGGACTTTGTCGACAAGATTCATGACTTTTATGAATTGAATTCGCAGTATGGACTGGAGCTAAGTGTCACGAAGAGTCTATTTTTATACCGCCAGGAACTTTGGTGTGGAAAGATCTTGAGCGAGACTGGAGTACGACACGATCCCACCCGTCTTGCTGTACGGCTCCCAGTAATGCTGCGGATCTGCAACGTATACTGCGTGCCGTTTACTGGCAACGTGATTTTTTCATTAATTATTCTGGATCTGCAGCACCTCTCTACAATAATTTGATGCTGTGCTTTCGATATAAAGTCGCTTCAAACGCATTGCAGCTGGTATATTATTGACTTGGACATCTGGTAAAATTGATGCGTACAATACGTTCCTTGCTTCCCTCTACCAGTTTGCTCAGCTTTCACTCACACATGATCAAGCAGCCATCTGTGTTTAATAGACGCCTCCTACTTTAGATGTGATCTCATTGCAACTCAAGTTCGAATGTACAAAGACGACATCCCACTTAAAGAACAGGCCTACGGATTGCTTGCATGTATGGGCGGAATTTTTCGTGGATCACAAATCAATTAATCAGTCAAAATAAAGGACAGATAGCCGATCATAAAAGCATGTATTCAACTATATATTATTGCTATCTCGTGGATTTTGTATGTAATGCGATCACGCAAACTTGATTCACATCTTCGTGTCGGCTCAGTACTTGAGTGTCACATTCGTGGATAGCAGCGCTAAATCTCCACATTGTTTTCTGTCCATAAGAAATTGAACGTTTCAGTGGTGAGCTTAATGTGTTCGCTGACAGTGTTTCTCGTTGGCTTACCCCCGCCCCATGCTGTATGGGCCACGGCCTATGTTATTTGGTTGCGCAGTGAACCAAAGCTATCCCCACTCCGCATGCTACAAACACCAGGGTTTGTCTACACATTGGTCCAGGAGATCGCCACGCATTAGCAGCATTCGTCAGGCTGGGCTGCCCTGGGTTTCTTTCTGTAGATGGATCAACCATCCTTGAAAAAGGGGTAGGTATGGCTACCTTCGGACTTAAATTAACTCATCATGCGCGTGTTCTCGTTACTCACTGTGGTGTGCGAGTACACCGTGGCGTTCACGTAATAGATAACAGTATCAAGCGAGAATTTATGCTTAACAATCTCCAGATCAAGGTGCAATCTTCGTAAAAAAAATTCTCTATTGACATGTTAAGGGTCAGTTGATTGTGGTGCAAGATTGATCGACAACTGCTGTCGAGACCAAGCGCTGAACCCACCTCATGAATGACCTCAGTCTAGGCGACATCATGTTAGGTGCTAAATACTGTCTGGTGCTTAAGGATGCATTTAGCCACTTCTGTAAGCTTAAAGCTTCTGACACTGCAAGTTCAAGGGTCGCAGCTAATGCCATCACCAGCTGGACAAAGGCTTTAAATTAACGACTTCGCTCATGACCGACAATGGAACGCATTTTCGCAATCAAATTATCGCTACCTTGACTACTAAACTTGGTATGACGCACAAACTATTCCCTGTCTACACACCTTTTTTGCTTAATGGAGCTGTCGAGCGCGTAAATCGCGACGTTTTACAAGCTGCACGTGTGGTGTTGCTCGAAGCGCAGCTCGATGTGCGCAATCAGGATATTTTACTTCCAGTGATTCAATCTTGCGCCAACCGATCCCCATTGGAGAGCCTGGGTAACAATCGTCCGATACAAATATTTGCAGATCTCCTACCACCACATTTGCTGGCCTTTCATTGCGCCCGATAGAGGCAGCACAACCTGTATCACGGTAAATTCCGACTCGATAGCGCAGCAACTGGACTAACTCAAAGCTCGTCTACAGCAGATGCACAAGGTCGTGGAATTTAGCAAGCGTGACCGTCAGCGAACTGCTAGCGATGCATCATCCGGTTCAGCTGCCAACTTTGAAGTGATCAATATTTTTTTGTGGTCGCGCGATGACCCTCGGTCATCCGGTAATACACTTATGGTCCATTGAGTAGGCCCCTTTGTGGTCACCGGGATCAAAGAGCATTGCTTGGAAGCTGACAATGTGACCGACAAAGTACGGAACGACGTGCATGGATCAAGACTTAATATTTATTCAGAAACTACACTCGAGGTCACAGAGAAACTACGTGATCATAGATCTATGCAAAGATTAATTTTCGGTGTCCGAAATATTTGTGACCTGCTCTACAGCGATGTTCGGCTTCTGCATGAGAGCTTCAGGTCGCCTGGGTTGGTCTTGAAGATGCTAAAGCATCGTGGGAGCCAATCCCCAGCACAAATGCGGACATACCCGGCTTGGTTTCTGCATTTATGGATGCACGTTCATCTTCGCCCGATTTCATTCGGCTACAGCATGAGCATCAGTAATGTCCGCCATGACAACGGGGTAAGTTGTGGATGATTACGTCACACATTCCTGAAATTTTAGCTTCGTGAGTTAAGAAACGCTAACCTCCTCATGTGCCGGGGGTTACAAAACACCCACCACCCACAAGCTACAGGTGGTTGTACAACTACTAGTATAGTAGACACACTGGGGCACCAAAGCGAAATAGCATGCATTTTTATTTGATTATCACACTTCGCAAATTGCCTCCGAAGCGCTCGGATTCTTCACAAGATTACGCGTTCTGTCATTTAATTTAAGAGTATATAGGGGACCTGTTGATCTAAGCACTACCGGCGCCCAGGGTGGCGGAGCTGCGAGGAATGTCATGTGTTGTGTGATTGTGTGCGAGAAGAACGTCTCAATTTCGTCGCCCGAGGAGGAGTATTATAAACTGACAACTGCTGTGAGAGCGTTGCTGTTGACCGACAACTACAGATCAACGCAGTTTTTATCCTCAATTTGTAAAGAAGGCTTGGCATTGATAATTTGCTGCTCAGAGACGAAATTATCGAGGTGAGTAATTAGCGACTCTGTATATCCTACATTTGGCGTGTCATCATTCGTTTCTGAAAATTAAGCATTTCAGAAAAGACGCCCCGCATCATTTTGAACACGATGCGAGCACTAACATCACTCGTAGACTGCCGTTATAATTTTGGATCGATGTCGCAGAATACGCGATGTGAAATCTTATTCAGAGTTCAAGCAAGGCCAATCCGAGATACAGCTACTATTTCAAATACTCATGATTATTTTTCGGTTTTTAAGCAACACTGTGGATTTTACTTTCAAGCACGGTGCATAGCAACGCGCGCGCAAGAGGGGATCCCGAATAATTTTGAGCAGTTGAGTGACCAGAACACTATTGACTAAAGAGCTGTAAGCGCTCAGATACACCAAAGTTTATGAAGCCAAAATCCCAGTAGACATAAGTCACGTGCTGCATGCGATACGCGTATACAAGGCCAAGACATGTATTGATAGGGCTACTAATAAATATCGACAAGATTGG